GGCCAGCCCCTCCGAAGGAGCCAGTGCTGATGTGCCGGTCCAACAACTACCCGAAGGGTTTCTACTGCAGCTGGCACCTGCCCACTCCCACCTACATCCCCAACTCCTTCAACATCTCTGTCATGTAAGTGCCTGGGGCAGGGAAGGGCGCAGCGAGAGTTTTTGTCCCTGCAGCCCGGAGCACTTCCGAAGTAGTGCCGTGAAGTCTCGGGGCAGCGGGTGTGACCTGTGCTGAGCGTATGGGATAGGTGTCCCACAAATGGGCCTGGGGACAAAGCGCCAGGGGCATCCAAACTGGATACTTGGCACTGGGGCTTTGTCTCAAGAAAGTTCCAGTTTCCCCAGAGGGGACCAGGAAAGTCTCCATATGCCAGGTTCGCTTTCCATGCTGCCCAAGTCCACCCTCTCTGCACTGCTTGTCCACAGTGGAGTTTGTGCCCACTTGTTTTGCAGTGTGTTTGGCACAGCTGTGCTCCCTTCTGCTGTATGGACCTGCAGCCAGGCAGCAGCAGTGTCCCTCACCTAGAACTGGCCATAGCATCTCATCATCCCCCAGCCTGTGCCCAGGTCATGGCACAGCCCTCATACAGGCTGGTGCTGTGCGTTAGCTTCTGGGGCTTGTGTCACCAGCGGAAAGGAGATCCTGTTCCTCTCACAGGAGGGACTGAGCCAACGTCAGCCCCAGCAGGGTCTTGTCCTTTGCTTTGGGCCAGAGTGAGGACATTCACTGCAGTTTCTGTGCCGACTCAGGATAAAATATCACACACATGAACCTGCAAAATTCCCCAGAGCAGGCAGAAAGCATCCTTTTGGCAGCAGGGGCTGGTGCATGGGGACCGCGGGCAGACCTGGGGCACAGCGCTGCTGTGGAGTGTGTCCAGAGAAGCGCAACGAGGCTGGTGAGGGGTGTGGAGAACAAGACTTGTAAGGAGCAGCTGAGGGAGCTGGGGCTGTTTAGTCTGGAGAAGAGGAAGCTGAGGGGAGACCTTATCGCTCTCTACAACTACCTGAAAGGAGGTTGTAGTGAGGCAGATGTTGGTCTCTTCTCTCAAGTAACTAGTGATAGGATGAGAGGAAAGGGCCGCAAGTTGCGTCAGGGGAGGTTTAGATTGGATCTTAGGAAAAATGTCTTCGCTGAAAGAGTGGTCAGGTATTGGAATACGTTGCCCAGGGAAATGATGAAGTCACCATACCTGGAGGTGTTCAGAAAATGTGTAGATATGGCAGTTCAGGACATGGTTTAGTAGGCATGGTGGTGTTGGGTTGGTGGTTGGACTTGATAATCTTAGAGGTCGTTTCCAACCACAATAATTCTATGATTCTATGATTCCTTCTGCCTCCTCCCTCCAGCAGCATGGCTGCATCCCCACCCCAAGCACTGCTCTGTAGCTAACAGCTCCTCTCACCTCTGCTTTCCAGACACGGCACAAGAGAGATGGTCTGCGAGAAGGATATCTTTCCCAAAAACAGGTGTCACATCAGATACCTCCAGCTCTTCTCAACTGTGAAGTACAAGGTGACTCTGACAGTCACGAATGCTCTGGGCAAAAACTCCACCACTGCCACCTTTGACGAGTTCGCCATAGGTAAATTCCACGGCAGCAACTGGCCTCTGCAAGACGATGTTGGGGTTGACTTGCTCTGCACGCAGCAGTGTCCGTCACAGCGACGGGCCAGGGAAGGGGCAGGCTCTCCAAATGGAGCCTCTGTCTATCCATGTGTGAGATGGAGCTGGGGTGTGAGCCACGCTGGCATCCTCCCCGTGCCCCCCTGATTCTCATGGCCCTGCTGTAAGTGGTGCTAGCACCTGAGCATCCTGGCAGAACCAGGCAGGATGCCCAAAGGAGGTCCTCATGCTGGTCCTCTTGGTGGCCTCATGCCCTGCCTGGTCCCATCCCCAGTGCTCCAGATCTCCTGTGGTTGCTGAGCTTCTCCCTGCTTGAGGGGCTGTGGATGCAGCTGCCAGGTACTGGGGCAGAGGGCTGTGAAACTGGTGTGGTCTAAATGGCATTGCCCTTCTTGCCCCTGTGAGTGTTCCTAAAAGAGAGATTTGGTGCTTGTGCTGGAAGCAGAGTCATGAGAATTAGGACTGGAAGAGAAATTAAAACGTCCCATCCTCTTCCCCCCATCCCTAGTCAGGATAAAGCCCTCCCAAAGTCATCCTCCACCAGCCCTTACCTAACCTGCTCCTAAAAACCTTGTTCCCCCTTTGCACCTCTTCGCTGCCCCACTCTGGCAGCTCTGCTGCAGGGATGCTGCCTGACCATGTCCAGATCTGCAGTCAGGGTGCTCCTCCAGCTGTGAAGGACCGGAGTGGAGTGAGCAATTCAGTGCCAAGCACAGCAAAGCATGGAGCTGGGCACAGAGATTTCACCACCAGCCAAAGCCAGCTTACAGCCAGTGCTGTGACAAGACTGTGCTTCCTCAAAGAACAGGAAAAATGAGAGAGAGCAGAGTTCAGGAACATGTCAAAAAACAATTTTCTAGTTACATGTGGCAATTACTGGACCAGAAAAACAAGTAAATGAATCCTTGAAGTGCAGCCAGCGGTCAGTCTTTGCCTTCGATGCGCTGTGTGTGCCAGTCCCGAGTGGCTGGAAATGCCGGAGTGCAAGAAGAGGAGCTCCACTACTATCCCAGATTTTCCCTTTCTACCCTGAATCCTGGTAAACATCAAACAAGAAACAAAGTGCCAACTGTGAACAGAGCAGGGAAATTATTTTGGAGCAGGGACTATCCTGCCATGTCCCTGCAACCGTGGTCCAGATTTGCAGCTTGTGTTCGTCGGTGGGTTGCAAATGTCGACAGCAAGGCCAGGAGCTTAGCAGGGAAGCAGTGGAGTTTCAGTCACTTGGGTGCCTTTAAATGGAAATTATTGTGTTTGTGGAAGATACACTCCTTAAAAATGAAGGTAACCTCCAGCCTGCAGGGCCCAGGGCAGCAATTAAGCTGCATTTTCTGAGTTCCTTGCATTCCCTCCTGTAGGAGTTCAGGGCATCATCTTGTAACATCTGCATCCCGCCCATGCCCTGCCTGGCTTCCCAAACATCTGGTCCTCCATCCAGCACACAAGGGCAACCCCCCTGGGGAAGCACACCCAGCTGCAAGCCCCGGGCATCCCAGCACCGGCACAAGCCGGATCCAGCCCAGGAGTTTGAACTCAGCCTGGGTCGGAGGAGCATCAAGCAGAGGCCAGCACTGCCCCGGGCCAGCTGTTAGCATGGGTGCAATATCACTGCCTTTTGCAAGAGCGACCAGCGTGGTGCAGGGTGCCTGGACATGTCCCGGGGGTTGCAGTGGGAGGCGAGGCCCCCTGGAACCACCTGGCAGATGCTCTGACACCTTCCAGGATGGCACTCAGGGAGGGGGCAATGGGACAGCGATGATAGCAAGGGCTGTGTCTTGCACCCCAGAGCCAGCCCACTCCCATAAATGTTCCAATATGTAGTAGCTTTGAAATCTCCACGTTCTGTACAGCTATGAAATTCTCCTCCTCAGGATTTGGTACGGCTGCCGTGCAGAAGCAGCGCAGATGCAGCAGTGATTGAGTGTTCAAGCAGGCAGTCGGCAGGCTCAGCAGAGTCGTTACGGGATGAACTCAGCTACCGCCGATCAGCAGCCACCTACCCTGAACCTTGTGCCGTCCCAATGTTTCCAACTAAAACGAGTGCACAGTGTTAGTGTATTTGGCCAGGCAATTTTGCCACGGGATGCTAGCTCTCCTCGCTGAAGCTTCCTCATCTCAGTGTCCCTCCTGGGTCTCCTCTTTGTGGCTGCCAGCCTGGGGGGTGTCCCAGCGTGGTGGGTGCTGGCCGTGTGGGTCTAGCACCCAGTAGGTTCCCTGGGGAACTCTAGCAGCGTCAGCTGGGCTGAGTTCTCATCTTGGAAGCTGTGTTGGGTTTTGTTCTTCTAGGTGGAGGGGCAGAAAACCTATGGCTTGGAACAAAGCCATTGTATCAATTCCTTGGAAAAACGCTGTGTGAGAACACTGCAACAAGTGCATGTATCTTGCTGAAAGGGAGAGATAGTGTCAACCAGCAACTGCACCATGCTTCTCCTAAAATCCCAGTGCTGCAGGTGTCAGAGCCTGCCTTGTGTTTTCCAGTTAGCCTAGAGAAGACCATCGCACTTTCTGCATGAAGGTTAAACCTCAGGTGTGAAGCCCTGATCTCGTGCCCCGCTGGCGATGGAGCAGCATGGAGCCAACACAAGAGCAATGTGGGACCTGTAGCTCTCCCTCCTGGTGATGGCTGAGCCAGGAGCCAGCCCTGCTGCTGGGTCAGACCACCCACCCAGCCTGGGCAGACATAAAAAGCCCCCTGGGAAGGAGTGACCTCCTTCGGTCTTGCTTCCTCTCTCCTTTCTCCCTTCCTGGAGCCCCCAGCAGAAATCCCTACCCCAGCGGCTCGAAAGATGGGCTCTAATTGAGTGGAAAATGACTGGTACTTTCTTTTGCTATCCTGAGCCCATGCCCTGCTGGCGGTCACGCCGTGCTGGTTATTAGTAGCCAGCTGGGAGGGGTCACTCTGCATTGTCATTTTCAGTGATGTCTGGAAGAGGTTTTCCAGCCCTCTGGCCCCCGTCTCTCATCAGTAGGAGATCCGGGTTGCCTTCCTCCATGTCTCGCTCCTGGAAGTTGTTTTCATAATTACGCCTTCTGCGAAGTTATCAATACTAATAAAGGTGAACGTGGGGAGGACAAGGGTCTGCAAAGTCCTGCAGACATCAGGGCTCCAGCCCCAAGGCAGAAGGAGGTGGGAAAGGGGGTGGGGAAGCTGGAGAGGAGAGGGCCTGGAGGCAGAGGAAGGTGTCAGGGAGGAGTGAGGTACTACACTAGTGCGTCAAGGAGCCACCACCTCCTTTGTGATGGCTGGGACAGCGTGGGGACATCTATGGCTCTCCAGGACACATCCCCACCTTCCTCATTTGTCATTCAGCCCAAGAACGAGGTAGCTGGCATGTTCATCCTTCAGGAAAGCAGGGACATCGCTGACACACAGCAGTGCCAGCATGCTGCCTCAGCACCTTCCTCCTCATGTGAGCCCGGGACAGAGTAGTAGGAGAAGATGAACCACGTTAGGAGGAAGGCAGCCTTGGACAGGGCCTTACAGGCATGGGTGCATTCCCCCAGATTTTCCACCCAAAGTTTGTGTGACAACAGGAAGATTGTTTGATCCTCCCAGCTCTGGCTCTGGGTTGATTAAGAGGCAGAGCATCTCATAGGGGCTGCGTGAGGACAAACATGTCCATGTCTGTACGAAATTCAGAGTCTCTGAACACGGGTATACAGTTGCCTAGGCAGAAGGTCAGTTCAATTCATACTACTTAGGGAGGCAGAATTAAATTACCTAGACTGACATTTGGCTAAGACATGGAGTTTAATATCCCTCTGCTCATGGAAAATGCCAGGGGATATTTAACAGCCGCAAGGGATCCATTTTAGCGCTCGTTGGAGAGACAGGATGGGCAATGGGCCCCTCTATGCTGCAGGGTCTCAGCTGCCTTTCTGAACCGCAGGCTTCATTTCGAGATGTGTCTAACAACAGCCATGGGCGATGGATAGCTAAAGACTTGCAGTTAAGCATGAGCATGCAGAGCCTTTAGCAAAAGCCTCTCTCCATGGCTCTTCTTGCACACCGAGCCCTCGCTTGGATGCAGCAGCCGAAAAACCAAGCAGGAAGAGCTGTGAGCCGACTCCGGCCAAGTCCCGTGTCTCCTTCCCAGGAATGTCTGGAGATGCTCCCTCAGCTCTGCGGGATAGTATTACATCTGGTTTTGTAGCCGCTTAACCAGTACTCAGGCTAATGCCCATCATCCATTATTATTATTACTATTATTGCTTTTATTACGTTACTGCCTGCAGGCCCTCGCCGAGGACAGGGCTCTATTATGCTGGCTGATGTACAGCCAGACAGCTCCTGCCTCACTATGTGTGGGCTAAATGGAGGCAGACAAAGGCTGGGGAAGGAGGAGCGCCTCATCCCTGTGTGCCGAGCAGGGACACAGGAGGCTGTGGAGGATAAAGGACTCCTTCAAGGTCACATAGAAATCGAGGAGCTGGACACAGACTGTCTCCCCTCGCTCCTCAGCTGGCCCTTGCGGAAGCGGCCCTAATGTTTCCCGTGATGAGCACTGTCCTAAGAGACATCGGTTTGTCCTCACTGGACCGGCTGCCAGACCTGCAGTCCACTTCTCCCGGCTCTTCTATCCCCACTGCCTTGGAGGGACGTGGCAGAAAGAGCTTCTGCTTTGTGCTTTTGGAGGGGCTGGCACTTCTGCGCTTTCTAGCCCGGGCAGGAGTCCCACAGATGCAGGGACACATAGCGAGGCAGCAGGACAGCTGGTTTTCCCATTAGCTCGCAGCGTCGTTTTAAGGCTCACTGTAGCTGGGAGCGCAGCCCCCTTTGATGACTGGGCTCTGCTGTGCTTGCTCGGAGCCAGGGCAGCCCTCTCCTGCGTGCCAGGGACAGTCTCCAACCCGCAGGAGTGGGGCTGGGGGTCACATCCCTGCAAAATGGGCAGGTGACTCCCACTTCGGCATCAGGGCACCTTTTTTTATTTTCTTCCACCCAACTGCAGTGGCATCTCTCACTGCTGCCCAATCACACGTGCCCTCTCCAGCACAACTGCATTTAAGCATCCTTCTGCCATGGCTCAAGGCTGGCACGCCAAAAAGCAGGGCCAGGCTCCCTGCATTACCCTGTGGAGTATTCCATCGCGTCCATCCCCAGCCTAGTGCTTTCCTTCCCACTTCCTCGCTGCAGAGCCGCAGTCTGCAGTCATCTGCATTCGTTCAGCTGAACAGACTTTTGTTTCGCAAACCGAGCCCACTGAGCCAGCACTGGATTTATGCTTTTCCGTATGCGTTTGGACTCCAAGTCCCTGTCGATGGAAGCTGATGTCCAGCCCGAGCCCGGGGATTTGAAGCGAGCGGAGGAATTGCACAGCCATCTGGAGTAGCTCAGCACAGTGCAGCCCCAGCATGTTGTCCCTCCTGCTGAGGATAAAGCTGTAAATGGACAATTGTGTCCCATCCTGTCACAGAGAGGGGTCAATGGGAGTCAGGAGGTGACACTAGGCATCTGTGGTCATGCCCGTGGGTGCTTGCTCACCAGCCACTCCCGAAGCCATCAGGAGCATCCTCTGCTGGGGATGGAGGAAGCTGTCCAGCCCTCCTTGCACTCACTGCAGCAGAGGGAAGGCAATGGGAGGCAGGAGAGGCTGTCAGGATGGTGGTGAAGATGGCAGTGAAGGAGGACTGCAGCAGGGTGTGTGTCAGAATGCTGAACAGGAGGGCTGAGGAGAGGGAGGTGGTGGTGCACTATGTCTTCGGGTGAACAGGGCCAATTCTGTGTCCCACCAAGGTGGCTGGGCTGTGGCTTCATTTCAGCATCCCACCCTCTGCCTCGCCTGCGGCCAAGCAAGTGGCTATAGTAGCATCACAGGCTGGTTTCTCCTAAGAGGAGCAAGTGGCAGCGGTGCAGTGAGGGTGTCTTCCTGGGGATGGTTGCTGCAATGCCACCATCATCCTGGAGCAGAGACGGAACTGAACGGCACACACACTTCTCCCCTTGCAGCAGACTGGCCCCACGTCAGCACCTCATCCCATACAGCTTCAAGCAGGGGAGAGATGCCCTTCATGCACAGGGCAGGGTTGCAGACAGCAGGCAGGCAGGCTAGCGAGGGAGCAGCTCACTCGCCACCACCTCCTCCTTCATCTCTCAGGGGCGACGAAGCCCCTGCATGGACATCACACAGCAGTTGAACCCCTGGGGTCAGCATGGAGAGGAGGACCTCTGAGTGCAGAGCCCGAGCTCTGCTAGGCGGAGAGGGGCTCTCCAAGGCCCCAGCATCCCTCCTCCACGCTTGGGAATGGAGTTTGGTGCTGACATGTTCACAAGCTGCTGCTCAAGGTGGTCAGAGCCAGGGGACCCTCCAGAGATCTTCAAACCAGGAGGGATCTTCATTGGCCCTCGTGTGGACTTTGGAGGGGCTTAAGAGCCCTCCAGGGACAGGAGGACTCATGTGCATTGCTATTCTTAGAGTGCACAGAGAGCCCTCTTCCACCGCAGGTACAGCTGTGCGCCCAGCTCCCTGTGCCCAACTCCTTCCTGGCCATGAGAAAAGGAGGAGTGTGGTTGTACCCAATTCTCAGTCTTTTTGTAGCTGTGCTATTACAAATTGGGACTTTGAGCTCTTGGTAGTTGAGCAAACACGTGGCGAAGAGCAAGGCTCACTCTGCAACTGGCAATGCCATTTATCACAGCAGTCTGTGATTTGCTCCCAGCACTCCAAGAGTAACTGCTACTTCAAAGCACATTGCATAGCTTGCAGCCAATTAATATTCACTTGAAATACTTGTAGGCAGCAGGAAAATATCCTGGTATCCCAAACGCAGAGCAGAGCTGAGACAGAGATACTGGGGGTGCAAGGTGACCATGGCAATCCTTCGCCCTTGGCAAATATGGTGTGCCAACGCTTTGAATCCCCAAAACCCCAGCCCTAAGCCCAAGGGTCAGAGGTAAGCGGGTTTGAATGTGGGTCAGACATCCAGAAGTCAGGAAGTGTGAGTAAAGTGCAGGATTTGGGCTTGGTGGTCTCCTCTTCCTGACCCAAGTAGCCCTGGGGAGGAGGGATGCTCTCTGCCCTGGCCAGGTTCCTGTGTGTCTCCAGCACCAGCACCTCCTTGACAGTGGTTATTTTGAGCCGGGACATCTGTACCACTGACCTGGACAAGAAAAGGTGACTTGCATCTAATTAGTTTGGGAAAAGGATATACTGAGTGTTGGCTGCTCCACTTGGAAAGCACACAGCGCAAAGCCCAGCCGGCTATGCCGAGGGGAGTAGGGAAGGATGCCTAATGCAAAGCTTTATCAGACACCTTCTTCTCTTCCAGTAAAGCCGGACCCTCCAGAGAGTGTGGTGGCCAAACCTGTGCCAAATAACCCTCGGAGGCTGGAGGTGTCGTGGCAAAACCCCTCATCGTGGCCTGACCCTGAGTCTTTCCCACTCAAGTTCTTCCTGCGGTATCGGCCCCTCATCCTGGACCAGTGGCAACACGTAAGCGATGCTGAGCTGATGGGAATGGGAGGTAGCATGTGGAAATGGTGACTGGGAACAAGTTGCACTGGGAACGAGTGTTCAGAGACTGAAAAAAATGTCTATTTACTGCCCAGGCAGCCCAGACCCTTTTCTTCTCCATCTCTGTCTCTCCTCCCTTCTGTCTTCCTCTCCATCTTTCTTTTAACTCACATTCTGCCTACAAATGGCTCTGCAGGCTCTCCCCGCTCTGCATTTTCATCCATGCCCCTTTCTACTTTCCATACATATGTTCTATATAAAACCTGCCAACGAGATGTAAAAGGCATTTAAAGTATAAATGTCACCACATTTAAATGCGCCTCTGCCACATTTAGATTTTGAACTGAAGATAAAATACCGCTCACCGTAAGTCAGAGCACAGTCACAGAGCGATTGGCACGATGTTATCGTATTTCTTACTTTTATTTCTTGTTTCTTTAAAAAAAAATAGTCAGTGAAATCCTTGGCAGCCCGGAGGACAGATTTCATTTGTTAGCTGCAGGAAGATAACGAACGTGGGGGTTTTTTTTCCTCTGTGTGCTACTTGCATGCTCGACTTGTGAAGGAAAGCAATCTGCTGCTCGAGGAGAGGTGCTGCTACACTGACATAGCTCATCCAGCATCCCCTCTGCGTCGACCTGGGCCAGTCGAAAGCAGATTAGGTGCTTTGCTTGATAAAGCGTTTTGCCCTAAAAAGAAAAGGCAAGTAGGAGGCAGTGCCTGGTTCCCGGGGAGCAAACTTGCATCGTGGAATGAAGAGGGGTTTTCTGCTGGCCCACTCTTCACTGGGAGAGCAATGGCTGAGAGAGGGGATGGGAGCCTTTGCTCATATCTCTGCCAGGCGTCAGTGTCTCAGCCACTTTTTGCATTGGTTGGGTTTTTTGATGAGGGCTAAGAAAGCAGGGGTGGAGTTTGTGTATTAGTTTGCAGTGGATATTTTTTTTTCACTTGTGGAAGAAATACTTGAATTGTAGAAGCCGTGAAAGAATCAACGGGAAATACCAAACACAACTTCAATATTTTCAAGGTGTGAAACTGTTGTAGAAAAAACTGGTGTTTTTACCCTGCCACAGCGTGATCCAGCCAAGCACTCTGAAAATGCAGAAGTTTGCATCTGAAAATGGTGGGAGAGCCAGTGAGCTGCCTCCTGCCTCAACACCCTCAGGCTGACTGGTCCCTCTATCACTGGATATTAGATAGCTTATTTGTGGGGTGAAGCCATGCCAGTCCTCTCACTGCAGGGCCTCCCAGGGGATGGTGTGACCCCTCCATCAGTGCTCTCAGGCAGGCAGCGACGGTGGGAAATACGTGGAGGTGTTGGCGACACTGGTGGCAAAGCCATTGTGGCTGGAGAAGGCAGTTCTAGGACATAAAGACTGAATTTCTCATATTTAAAGATGCCCTGAGCTGCAGAGAGAGCTCAAGGTACCAGACTTCATGGTGGGTGCAAGGAGGGCTGGGAAGAGTTCATCTCCTGGCGTTCCAGCAGGGCACAGCAGTCCTGGGTACCACTTTTAATCAATATCCTCTTGCAAGAGGCGTGTCCCCTGTCACTGGCTGATGGAGAAGTGTGTTTGAGGAACAATTTGCTCAGTGAGCAAGTGCAAGCATTCAGTGAGTGAAGTACCAGGCTTGTTTTCTGACTCTCTGCCCCGATGGCTGGGTAATGAAAAATCTGATTTGTGGATGATTTGAGGAAAACTGCCACTATTCATCAGATGAATTATTTGCGAAGCCTAATTCAATCAGCTCCCAAACACCAGGGGATGGCAGTGCTGCAGCAGCTGGAGCTGCTCCAACCCCAGAACCCCTTGGCACATTCAGCCTGCTTAGCCCAACCAGGCACCCTGCAAATACAGGGATTTGCACCCAAAAAAAACCCTGCCTATGCCAGCAATCTGGGAGCTTGCCCTTGCCATGCTGAGCTCAACTTTGCTTGACCTGTTGCTTGTTGACATCTTGGGGAGCATCCCCATTCCCCCACATCCAGCCAGGAGAGGGAAGGACATGGTTTGGTAGGGCCAAGCCGAGCTCGGCCATCCAGCTCATCCTGTGGTGGTGATGTTGGGTCTCTCCTCAAAGGGACAAGTGCCATGAGAAACGATGCAGCGGTCATACATGCCATGCTTGCATGACAGTGTCATAATTCTTGCCAAGGTGAAGGTCTCCTGCCACAAGCTTCCCCCCACCTTGGCTCTTGGTGTCCCCACTGGCTGCCAGCATGGAAAATCCTTTGCACACAACCTGCTTGCTGACAGCGGGGCAGCCTTGGAGCCAGTCAGGGAGAGGAGAATTCTGTGCCAGCAGCCAGAAGGAGCTGGGTACCTCATGCTCTGGCACGTCCCTGTGTGCCCACAGTCCCCATGCTGAGCCGGGCACTGCCTCCTGATAGCAACCCACCTCTGCACCTGCTGTGGGTTTTAAGCATCTCCTGCCGTCCCCTTGGCAGCCCCGGGGGAAGCCCAGCATCCCTGTGGGAGCAAACCCACGAGGCAGCACCGGAGACTGCCCAGAGCCAGGAGTATCCATGCAAGCTCCGCTCACACGTGGCGTTTCTTGGCAGAAGAAGCAGCTCCCTTTTCTCCCCTCCACCTCCCGTTATCTTTCCAGGGTCTGATTTATGCACAGCACCTCGGCAGGCAGGACCGAATGAGCGCTAATAGGATCAGATGGATGTCGAGCTGTCGAATACCGTAGGGCCTGATTCAATCAGCGTCTGCTTTCTCTGAGGCTCTTCCTTTCAGGATTTTAATAATGCCAGGGCTTGGCACCAGAAGAGAAAGCCGTCTGTGGCGGGAGCAGTGGATCTTATCAAGACCGCCGCTGCGCGAGCTAGCCATAAATGCAGTTTCCCTCCCAGAGGGAGCCGGGTGATGCTTGGCCCAAGCATCCCCCCTCATCGATCAATATCTGGGGTTGACCCAGAGCCGGGGGGACACCCTCGTCTCCTTGCTAGCGCTTTGCAAAGGTGGGTTTGAGGCCCACCATGCCGTCTGCACTCCCTTTCCAGTGCTCAGCAGCACCTTTCCGCTCAGGCCACTTAGCAGCTCTCATGTGTCAGTTTGCTCTGGGAATTACAATGATGTGCTCTGGGAATTATTATCGTGGAGAGATGATGATGATGTTTCCACGTGAGCATGTGGCAGCCCATGCGCGTGTGCCGGATGCTCCTTGCACCACCATGCTGCCTCGCAGCAGCTCCCTTGAACCTGGGCAAAGGCATTTCCCAGCTGTTTGGGATGCAGATTTGTCACATCGTGTCACATCTGGTGGCCACCACTCCCCCTCCACCCCACCAGCACCGAGCTCGCTCTGAAACTCAAGCAACTTTAAAGTCACGCTCCTCCCTTTTTGGAAGAGGGGCTGGTGGTTTCTCTGCTGCCAGAAGAGAGATGGGATATTTGTAGCCTAAACAGGTTTTTTATTCTCTCCTTTTGGCAGAATCTCCCTTTCTGTCTCCTAAATATAAAACATTAAATGTTTAGGGTATCCTTTATTTTTCTCCTGCTTTTAAGTTTGTAATTCAAGCCAGATTAGCGTGGTTTCCTCTTCTGTTTTATAGCCCCATCCTGGCCCCAAGCGAGCTCTCCTAATGCTCTCAGATGTTCCTCTAATGGCTTACCTAGGCTGGAACTGGATACCCTTTCCTAATGGATTGCTAATAGCCTGTTTCTGGTTTTACAGGCTCCTTCAGTTAACTTGCAACAGCAGCAACCGCCACGCTCACACATACGATCTCCCTGCGAGCACGTCTGCATACTCTCCCCTAGACACAGGCGGGTGGTCAGGCACCATCCCAAGCATCTTTGAGGAGCCCAGGGCAGGTCTTACACCCAATTTGCTCCCACCCTGCAGTGTTCGCTGTAGCAGGATTGCCCCTTTTCCCAGTTTTTGGGGGGGAGATGAAGTGTGCTGAGCACTGAGCAGCTCGGTGCATATCCCGGGAACATGGCAAGGCTCAGAAGGTCTTTCTTAAGTAGCATCGGAGCTGGCGGCCAGGCCGAGGGAGGATTTCCTCCGGTGGGTTGCCAGCAATTTGCAGATGCCGTCGCGAAGTCTAATTGAACCCATTGGCCGCGCTGACAACATGAAATGTTAACGAACCGTGAGGCGGGCTGTGCCTCAGATCTTGAGATTTGCAGTAAAAGGTCATGAGATATTTAAAGCTAATAATGTGGTTGGGTTCTCTCCTTCCTCTTCTGTTTTGGAAGCATTAGAGCCACGTCTGTGAGCATTTGCAAAGGCTGGAAACGTCCTTCTTTGGAAAAGCAAGCGGAGGTGCTCCCACCATCCCAGGATTTTAGGAGCTGGGGCCACAGAGCCCTCGATGCAGCCGTCTGTGCCAGCTCTGCTGCTGAGCAGCTCTGATCTGGGCAAATGATGGGGATCTGGGGACAGGAATGGGCAGTTTGGAGGTATGGCCAAATACTTCATGGCTGGGCTTGTTGATGTGAGGAGGGCGTGATACTCTGGGATGGCCATCATCATTCGTGTCCAGGGTGGCTGCCAGGGTGGGCTCGGCCTCACCTCTCAAGGCAAAGCAACATTTTTTTGTCAAATGGGTGAGTCTCACAGGTTGTCTCTGGAAGCTCCTGCCTTGTGGCAGCCTGAAATAACCTGAAAGCATGTGCTAATGCACATCCTGCCTGCAATGGGCAAGGGGGACGGATGGAGCTGAGGAAGGCAGTTAGTGCCAACGCCTGCCACAGCTGCATCCCCACTGGCGTGGCAGCAATGTCACTTTGTGGCGGGCATGCTTCTTTGTGCCCATTTGAATCCCCCCGTGTCTCCACCAATTTGCCAGCACTCCCCCTCTTTGCAAGGCAACCTTGGCAGGGAGGTCACCCTGAGCGAGCTGGGTTACAGCTTCACGCCTGGTAGCTTTTATTGCAGCACTTTTCTCCCTTCCCCGCCCGGCTGCAAAGTCAGTGATTAAAAAAGGAGGGAAAGAAAGAGATTTAATAGGTGGGAGCAGAGTG